AATGGGAGCAATTGGAAGACTTGATTTCAAGTTAAAAATGTTTGTGGAGGCTGCCCTAGCCAGACTTTTTTTTTGTGAAAGAAAACATGGCGCCTAACTCCTCTTGTCAACCTCTAGGAAACAAATCTGACACCTTATGCATATGAGGAGGGCCAGTATCACTGTCATTCTGTCTTATTCTGGTGGCCAGCAAAACTAGTGGGCTATCTTAAACACATACCACGGCAGATTCCTTCACATATTCTGCAGTTAACAAGTAGCAATGAAACATAAACATGAAAGCGCGTCCAGCAATTCTGTATGTCCAGGACCCTCATGAAGCTATCATTCACTTCAGGGACAGCATCTTGATTTTTTCAAAGTGTTTGGCTGTAAAATGCGCAGCAAGCGGGAAAAAATAAAGTACAAATCTCAAAATTTTGAGACTTGTATACTTTATTTTTGGGTCTTGTACTTTATTTTTTGGGATAGCAGATTTTGCACCACACCCTTGAAATTTATGGTTTTGACACAAAATCTAGCAGCAAAATGAATAAGGTACGGGTGTACCTTAAGCATTTTGCGTGCAGATTTCAGTAAAAAAACTATTTTTTTAAGTGTTTCGCACAAAATCTGCTATCCCCAAAAATAAAGTACAAGACCCAAAAATAAAGTACAAGTCTCAAAATTTTGAGACTTGTACAATATTTTTTGCCTTGAACTTTATTGATTCTTATCCTGTACGATGGCTCTGGCGTGACCCTCGAATCAAAAGCACTCCGACTCTTTGTTTTTCAACATCTGGCACGCATCGCGCGCTAGTTAAAAGCTACAGGCACATAGCACCAGCAAAAAGATTCCAGATTCATACTTTCACTTTGCTACTTTAAAGAGTAAAGTACCAACCCAAGGCTTAGCACCGCCGTATGTTCTGAAGACTTGTACCTGGAACCTTGGAGGGTCGTGGCATGGACGGTGTGGCTGCTGTCAGGAACCCAATTTCCTTACTGAACCCCAAAAAACGGTGCAACGATCAAAGTCTTGACAACTTGATGCGCGCTCTTAACCTTTGAACGCTACAGTCCAAGCTTGGAGGCTGTACCATGATGAAGGTTGAAAGATGCACTGGTGAATTTTGGTACGAAGTCAATTTTGTTGTGAAACCGTGTCGGCCCAGAAGACTGCGCTATATTAAAATTTGATACCCTCAACTACTAAAGGTCTAAAGTACCTGACCCTACAGGGTCCACGGGGCCAGGGTCTAAACCAGTCAATTTTCAGCACTCTAGACCTTTTTGAATTAGTGCTAAAGACCATTCCTATATTGCCTCATAATATAGTATAATTTTAATATAATAACATATATATATATAATATACATACACACACATATGTATAATTATATATATAATTAAATAAATATATATATATATACACGATGATCGTATACTGTGCAAATTCTTCTCTTTCTCTTTCGGCTTCGGGTCCTCCTTTCTCATCTGGAACAGGGCTCTTTGCGACTCCTGGCGCGCTTGGGTGATGGCCTTAAAAAAATTGCCTAATCCAAAATCCTCTGGGAAGGTCCTAGCACAATGCGAAGTCATGAGAAACCTGCTGAAGACCCTGAAAATTATTTTTGAATAGAAAAAACATCGCATTCCAACTTGCAGGGTTGAACCCAATATCAGAACGCCAAAACACAACGAGGTCATGAGAAATCTGCTGAAGATTCTGTGGAATCCCCTGCCCTGAAATGAAAAAAAACGTTCTTATTCCAACTTCCAGGGTCTAATCCAAAATCCCTCTGGGGTTCTTTAGCACCAGAAAAAAATTGGGTCATGAGAATCTGTTGAAGACCCTGTGGAATGGGCCCCTGCCCTGAAATGAAAAAAAGGTTCTTATTCCAACTTCCAGGGTCTAATCCAAAATCCCTCTGGGGTTCTTTAGCACCAAAACAAAATGAGGTCATGAGAATCTGTTGAAGACCCTGTGGAATGGGCCCCTTCCCTGAAATGCCCTGAAATGTAAAAACTTTATAACACTTTCCTATTCCAACGTGCAAGGTTGAATTCAATATCCTTCTTGGGGGTTCTTTCGCACCAAAACAAAATGAGGTCATGAGAAATCTGTTGCAGATTCTGTGGAATGGGCCCCTGCCCTGAAATGAAAAAAACGTTCTTATTCCAACTTCCAGGGTCTAATCCAAAATCCCTCTGGGGTTCTTTAGCACCAGAAAAAAATGAGGTCATGAGAATCTGTTGAAGACCCTGTGGAATGGGCCCCTGCCCTGAAATGAAAAAAACGTTCTTATTCCAACTTCCAGGGTCTAATCCAAAATCCCTCTGGGGTTCTTTAGCACCAGAAAAAAATGAGGTCATGAGAATCTGTTGAAGACCCTGTGGAATGGGCCCCTGCCCTGAAATGAAAAAAACGTTCTTATTCCAACTTCCAGGGTCTAATCCAAAATCCCTCTGGGGTTCTTTAGCACCAGAAAAAAATGAGGTCATGAGAATCTGTTGAAGACCCTGTGGAATGGGCCCCTGCCCTGAAATGAAAAAAACGTTCTTATTCCAACTTCCAGGGTCTAATCCAAAATCCCTCTGGGGTTCTTTAGCACCAGAAAAAAATGAGGTCATGAGAATCTGTTGAAGACCCTGTGGAATGGGCCCCTGCCCTGAAATGAAAAAAAAGTTCTTATTCCAACTTCCAGGGTCTAATCCAAAATCCCTCTGGGGCTCTTTAGCGCCGGAAAAAAATTAGGTCATGAGAATCTGTTGAAGACCCTGTGGAATGGGCCCCTGCCCTGAAATGAAAAAAACGTTCTTATTCCAACTTCCAGGGTCTAATCCAAAATCCCTCTGGGGTTCTTTAGCACCAAAACAAAATGAGGTCATGAGAATCTGCTGAAGACCCTGTGGAATGGGCTCCTTCCCTGAAATGCGCTGAAATGTAAAAACTTTATACTCACGGATATACTTAGAATAACATGTTTTTCCAAAATTTGAAAACCAGTACTTAGAATAACTGTACTTAGAATATGCATATAGAGAGAGATAGAGAGAGCAAGAGAGCGAGAGAGAGAGAGAGAGAAGGGACGTGGCGTGGCAACACACGCACCCCTGCCGTGGGACACCACCCCAGGCAAGGACGTGTTACCAGCGCACGCACCCCCGAAAGGACAGAGATGAGAGAGAGAGAGAGAGAGCGAGAGAGAGAGAGAGAGAGAGAGAGAAGGATGTATCAATTTTTTTTATTGTGGGAATACTGCTCTAGACCCTTGGCCGTATGTAACCCCAGAAGGTCTAGAGCAAGAAAAATGATTTTACATAAACCCTCAGGGGTTATAGCCTTTAGACCCCTGCTTTAGGGTCTAGAGTGAAATATACTAGGGTCCCCCCCTAGTAGTTGAGAGTATAAAATTTGCCTCTCTCTCTCTCTCTCTCTCTCGCTCCCTCTCTCTCTCTCTCTCTCTCTCCCTCGCTCTCTCTCTCTCTCTCTCTCCATCGCCATTGTGCCACTGTGCCACTGTGCCACTGTGTCCATGGATTTTTTTCTTTCCCTAGTCATGACCACCTTGCGTCCCTATTTCAAGTTTTTTAGGGAGATAACTTTACTCAAGGGTTCAACCTTCCAAGCATTGCCAAAGGGGTATTTTCTCACAAAGGCATGAAGAGAAAATGATGGAAAAGACGGCAAAAATCGTATTCCACCTTTCTATCCATATGTGTTTCCAACTCTAGATGCACTGCCAGTTTTGGCTGTAAGACGGTGCTTGTGATAGTTTGTGACCCAGAACGTGGCAGACAACTCTGCAAGGGAGACTTCAAGAAATAAAGTGCAAAACCTCAAACGTTTGAGGCTTGTACTTCGTTTTCTACGCTTGTACCTCAAGCCCTGCAGTTTGAGTTTTGTGGCCACGCCTTCGCATTTCAAGGGCTTCGCCGCGACACACCTTCTGGCATTGTAGTATGATCTGACGTGGTCTAAAGCTGCTTGTTTTGGTCTATCTGAGTTTTGAGGGCCGCATTCTAGTTTGGAGTGTTGTCTGTTTAATTTCTTTCGCGCTGTAATGGCTAGCTTGCATCTTGCTACACTCGGTTTTAGAGCACAGAACCAAAATGCTGATGCTTGTGCCAGCAATTCTTGGGTTGAACAGTCTTGCAAGAACACCATTCTTAAGATTCAGTTTCAAGGTGGTAGGTTTGGAAGGGCCATACGTGATTGTTTTCACGTGACTGGCCGCAAACTGTTTGTTGACGGGCGTTTTTTTCTGAGCTTCAATTGTTGGGACTGGATGTTGGCTTCAATAGCTGCTGGTTGCCATGTGTAGTCGAGAGTGTGGATGTGAACTTATGAAAAGCCGTTTCTCGATTGAAAAACAGATTTCACACCTTCATAATACGACCAACCTAACTTTCAGATATGCGCGCTTTACCTTTGAACGCTGCAGTCCAACCTTGTAGGGTGGGTGTACTATGCTGTGTTGTGGTGCATTTGGGCACTAAACCCATTTTACTCTGCAAACCCAGAATTTTGCTGATGCCATTGATTTTTTGATGTCTGCACTACATCAAGTTTATTCAAGTTTTGCGACCCTGTCCCTGAAGCGTAAGTCTTTCCAAAGTGATGATCCTGCCGCGTTCAGAGTTCAGTCTTTTTTAAGGACATCACTTGAGTCGAGGTTCCGCCCCTCCAAGCGTTGCCAGAAGACTATTATTTTCACAAAGACATGAACAGCAGATAAGGTACAAGGCTTCTGTTTCAACAAGGAAATCTTGTCACCGGGTTTGTCCATGATGTTGAACTTCTGTTTCACTTTTGGCAAGAAATGGGTTCAACATGGTTCAACACATAGCCCCTTCCACCAAAAATTGTCATGGGGTAAGCGCTGTCATCTTTGAGTTCTTGGCGAGACATGGGCTGAGCGGGCATAACTCCAGCGCAAACTCGTCCTGCAAATACTTGGAAACGTGGTCACGCCAAGCTCGAGCACCAACGCGCTGACCTTGGAACCGTATGTTCTAAACCTCCAAGTTGTAATCGTAGAGGTTCGCCTTGGGGTACTCGAAGAAATGCGTCCTGGAAGTCAATGCCCCCAAGCACTGGGGCATCAGGGGAAGTGCTGCTGACTGTTCCTCCATCCCCTGAAAAGGCCAATGCGTTTCAAATTCAGACCTGGCAACATTCGCAATAGGTGTGTAGGGGAAGCTGGTGAATAGACATCATCTCGACGACCACCTTGAAAAGCATAGTCTCGAGCCACCCGCCTTCATCTCCTCCTCCACATTTTCACTGTTTTCCCTTCTCCCAAGTTTTTAGTTGCCAACCTCCAGTCGTAGACAAATCGCGCCCTGAGGACCTTCTGTAACTCCTTGTCACTTGTAGCTGCAGGTCTCATCACACCGATCTTGGTGAGTCGTTCGAATGCGTCGGCTGCTCTGTCCGGTTCAAATTGAGGTGCTGGTGGAACAACATCCACTGGACCATCAAACCAAAGAAATTCAGGAACCCGTCCTGAACCTTCATCCTCATCTTCAAGCCAATCATCATGATCGTTGATCTCCTCCTCGACTCCAGGCATGTCCTCACCCACCGTGTAATAGTCTCCTCTTCCAAATGAAGTTGTTCAGATCCTCTTCAAGTTTTCGTACTTTGAGCACCTTCACCGGCGTAGGATTGAGCGCCCCTGTGGGTAAAGCCTCGGCGCCATCTCCAGGTATCAAGGCTGTCGGCCGTGTAGATGCTGGACTCCTGCTTGTTGATCGCCCTGGCGAGTTAGGGTGGGTTCCTTGTGGTTGATTTGAAAATTTCACCCGCTTTTCCTTGTCCATGTTGTACTTGCTCAAGTTGAATTTTTCTACCAGGATGTTGAACAACTGGCCTCAACGAAGTTGATGAAATTGTAAAATCCACCACTTGAGTTTGTTGAGGAAGTACAGGTGGAAGTGGAACTGAATCAGTGTCAGTTTGTCCAGGAAGAACATCAATGACTGCTGGCAGAACCATCTCGTCATCCTCCATCAAGACAACTGAAGCCTTCTATGTATGATCATGCGCTTTCTTTCTCTCAAGTTCATGCTCCTCTCGTCCTTCTTCAATGGCCTTCTTCGCAAGTGCCTCTGCCTCATAGCGCCTTCTCTTCATGACGATGGCCTCCAAAGGAGTCAAGCTGTCAGCTGCTAAATTTCACAAACGCTGGTACGAAGCCCCTTGCTGCAGCAAGGCCCAAAGGCCTACTCTATATACTTGGTATGGTGCAAGGAGAAGGCTGTGAACACGTGGGGTAAATGGAATATGAACAAATGACAGAGAAGATCAAGTATGGAAAGCGAGTGGAAAGTCTTGCAAAGACAATTCTGCGCTTATGTTTTCCAGGAGGCAACAAGTTCTTCCATTACGGATGGTAGCCTGGACTATGGGATGTGCTATGCGGAGGACACTACATCATTGAGGACTTGGAATTTCTCGGGTTTTGCCTTTGCAGCAGTACTCGCAATCATTGCAGTGATCGTCATGGTGTCCTACATCGTCTACATGGTTTACAAGCTGATCAAGGACATGAAAAGCAAAATGGCTGAAGTTGAGGAGAATATGAAGTCACTTCGGGAGGAGGTGCATGGTATGAACTCGAGACAAGACACTTTGTCTGCCACTGTGGATCAAATGTACTAAGTCAGCACGGAGTTCTTCAACGAGCTGGACGATGGAGTCAAACAACAACAGCAGCTGACTGGACGCCTATGGATGGGTCTTGCTCATGTTGGGGGATGGGTCCCAAACACAAGGAGATGCTTGGATTCAGAGGAACAGAGGTATTTGACGCACTTGAACAACGAGAGCATTGACGATTATGAGCAAGAGCATGGCGCGCGAAGTCTGAGGAGCAGGTCCAGCACTCAACACCTACGAGGAGGTCATTTACAGAAGATGGTGAACGTCCACCACCCATGACGGAGTCACCAGCTGATTATGGTCTTCCTCAGAGCACTTCAGAGCGTGAACCCCATGGATTATCAGGAGAAGTGCGTCCAGAACCCGACCGAATTGGTCATAGGGAAAACCAAGAGTTCAGTTGGAACCAAGAAGACAAGTGCTTTGAATCCGACGGAGGAGTGCGAACAATTGCATTCCACACTCATGTCATTCTTTTGCATGCGCAGACCATGTCATGAAGTGACCCCTGCACAAGGATGACACGCACAATCGAATATGTGCCAATAGCCCCTTTGGATGAGGAAAAGGCCGGTATGCTTCGCATAATCAAATCATAAATCAAATTTACGAAAGCTCCAGACAAAACCATGACAAACTCTTAAAAAAACTAACGCCAATCTCAGGGCCAGGCGTAAAAAAACCTCAGAGCCGGCCCGCCCAAAAAAAACAACCACAAAACCAACCCTAATTAAAGCGTAAACTAATTCAATATAGAATATAGATCCTAAGCCAGCCCTAAACGAACCTTAGTTGCAAAATGCCATGCTGCAAAATACATGTTTCCCCGAAACGCTATGCAGCTCTGATGCCACACGTCCGCAGCAGCGCGCCCAGGACCCGTCCATCGAGGGCATAAAAAAAAAGGTAAAATTAACCACGACGATTTTGTCGGTGGAGTAAAGAAAATTGAAGTCTACGATTATGGGCTGTTTCGGATCGATTCTGGTATGAACGGTTCCGCGACGCACGGCAGGGTTTTTTTGACTCACTTTCCGGAGGCCAATTGTACTAGAAGATCCCTACCCTCGTAAGAATTGAGTTTGAGGGGGGGGTCGTATTGAAATTTCATTTCAAAATTTATTTTTGCAATCATCTTTTCTCAATGATCAATATTCCTCATCATTCCCTGTCATGGGCGAGCAGGTGAAAATTGAATATTCCGGAGCGAAGCGCATGTCAGACTGAAGCAGCACATGTGTAGGGATGGCATCCCTCCAAAAATTTTGCTGCCGTATTTTTTAACCAGCGCCCAAGACAGGTTGGTTTTGTCCCCCCCCCCGCCCTCCCCCTCTATAGGGGTGGGGATCTAGAAGGAAAAAATGATCTTTTGGAAGGACCGTGGTCTCCCAGCAAGCCTCCGGCGGCACCTGCCAGCTTTAGCTGTTCATGGACTAAGATGGGATGGTGTCCGGTCAAGGAATGGTACTGCCTTTGTCCCCTATTGAAGGTTTGAAATTGAGATTTATCCCTAAGTTTAAGCTGAAAATCATTGCCAGTAGGCTACATCGGTGAAACAGTTGCAAACTGAACAAAGATTATCCCCGTCTGGTGGTCCTGGCTGAAAAGGGGGGAGCTCTACCTCAAAAATTTAGCTAGCTGCAACTGTTACCTGACACTTGTACCCATGGTTTTCAGCCAAGCCCCAGATAGCATCATTTCTGAGAAATTGAGTTTCAGGATGCAGTTGAGCATGTGTTCATGTTACCTTGGTTCCACAGTTTTCAGCCACAGCTCTACTCGATTCCATACATTTCTATGCTGACCTCAGATCAGATCCATAGTTTTCATCCAACAACATAGGGGTTGGGGCACAAGGGCTAAAAACCTAGGGCTGGAGCGCCTGGTTTTAGCCCACAGATGGCTTTGGCCTGTACTCCAAAAACGTTACACATGGGTTTTCAGGACCTGGTGAAAAACCCTCAAGCGCCGGTATTCATCCAATAAGAGTTTTTTTTTTGAAGAACTTTGCCAAACGTCAAACTCAGGGGTTTCAGCCAAAGTTGGATTTTCAACATGAAAGGCTGAGGTCACTGGTTTTTATCCAGAAACATTTTTTCCAAAGAATTCAGCTGCTACCCAGGGGAACTTCAGTTCACAGGTTTTCATCTACAAATATAATTTTGGTTACGGGAACTTGAAGTGCTCACGGCATAAACCCTTAAACCTCAGTACAGGTTTTTATTCTCCGGGTCTTGCTGTTTTAACTTTGTTCCGATGTTGCCTCCAGCACCTCTCTCTCGCATTTGCTAGATGTGCATCGGGATTTGTAGATAGCATATTTGAATATATATGAATATACTTGCATCTTTTGAAAATATTTGAGTACATGGAAAGACATCAAAAGACATGGCCTGAACACATGGATCCCTATGTTTATCCCTTTGTTTTTTTGGGCCAGAGTGGATGGCTTTGCAGAAATGAGTGGTTGTGTATGATTCCTGCAGGCATGATATTCAAGGCTGATAATCCGCGGTGTAACTTGGAGAGCTGTTCCGGCAGAGTTCAAAACAGGGATGTGTGAGATGAAATCTTGGGGTCTGAGGTTTTGTTTTTTTCTTTGGACATTGGTTTAGGACAGATTTGCGGAAGTGCGCGCTGTGACTTGGAGAGCTGTTCCAGCAGAGTTCAAAACAGGGATGTGTGAGACGAAATCTCGGGGTCTGAGGTTTTGTGGGGTTTTCTTGGGACATTAGTTCGCAGATTTGCGGAAATGCACGCTGTGACTTGGAGAGCTGTTCCGGCAGAGTTCAAAACAGGGATGTGTGAGATGAAATCTTGGGGTCTGAGGTTTTGTAGGATTTTTCTTGGGACATTGGTTTAGGACAGATTTGCAGAAATGCACGCTGTAACCTGGAGAGCTGTTCCGGCAGAGTTCAAAACAGGGATGTGTGAGATGAAATCTTGAGGTCTGAGGTTTTGTGGGTTTTCTTGGGACATTGGTTTAGGACAGATTTGCAGAAATGCACGCTGTAACCTGGAGAGCTGTTCCGGCAGAGTTCAAAACAGGGATGTGAGATGAAATCTTGGGGTCTGAGGTTTTGTGATTTTTTCTTTGGAATTTGGTTTAGGACAAGGTTTTGGCTCTGTGAGGGAGCCCCTCTAGCTATTAACCTTAGCGGTTGGGTTCTTTTGACGCCATTGATCGCCGACCGCGGGCCTTTTGTATTTTCACTGGGTTTCATTGAATTTCAATTTGGCCTTGGGACCACAGTCTGGCTGCCATTCGCTTGGCCCATATTGTGCATTTTGAGATCAACTCTGCGATTTGGTTCTCAATTGGTGTTTACAGTGGGGTGTTGATTTTCTGCTCTACTTTCATCATTTGTGCTGCTTTGCTCAGTTTGGATATTGGGGATCTACGCCCTATTACTTCCATTCACTGGTTTTGCGGCGAGCCATTTTGCAGTGCATGCACTGGATTTGCAGATTTTACATTCTTTATTTTTTAGCTGTTGCGTTTATCAATTATTACGTTTACGGCTACGAAGAGGCGCAAACTGAGAAGACAGAGAGCAGTAGCTCGGGCTTTGTGGCATCGGTTCTCCAAAAAAAAGCAGAGACTTACCACTGGCCAACTTCGCTGGATTCGAAGCGTTTTAGCGAAGCATCACTCAAGAGACAATCAGTTGCTGAATTTGATCTCTTCAACCATGTCTCAGTTCCAATCAGAGGAGTCATTCCCCTGGCGCTGCCAGTGCTCACGCCTCAACAAGAAAACACACGAGCACTGTCCACAGTGCAAACGGCACTGGACAACAGGACAGAGGCACGAGACACAACCTGCCTACCAGTGGCAGACCGAGACAGAACAGCCGTGGCACGGCTGGGAATCGCCCCGCACAGGGCGCACGAGAGCCAGGAGCAAAA